ATCGATTATATCATATTTTTTATTTCTATTTTTTATTTATATGAACATGTATTTTCTTCGATAGAAAATGACACAATGGTGGAGGCAGATAATGGATTTAACATATCCAGTAACATCTATGTTTTCTGGAAAAGACTTCAATAGTACAATTCAGGCAACATTTGGTGATACATACATAGAAGATTTGTGGTTACCATATTTTACAATAACCACAGACATCACTGATTCTTGTATGCGTACTCATACACACGGTCTGTACAAAAACAAAAATAGTATAACATTAATTAAAGCACTGATAGTTTCCAGTTTCCTTTAATAACATACATTTAAGGTACAAATTTAAATAATTTAAAAATAACTAACTGGAAACTCTCTCGCTGTTTTGGTGAAATTTATATAAAACTTCACAGACACGTTTCTAGCCCAAAACCCTATTTTTTTAAATTTAAATAAACATTACCATAAAGCATTGCGTAGAAATAAGCTTGAACAGCGGGAGTGAGCTTTCTGGATAATCTGTATTATAATGACGTACTCTCCGTTCTGTATCTTTTGTTGACGAATGTCGAATCACTTCTCGTTTGAAAATTAAATGTATAAAGAATAAACTCCTTAGATATATTTTTTAATGAATTATGGTAACAAAGAGCTTTAAAGTTATCGTTTCTTACACTAAAAGAATATTATATAATTTATAGATAAACATACGAAGTACGAAGAAAAATACAAACATATATTTAAAAACTTAATTCGTCGTGTTTAGGATCGCTGTGGCGGTACATTCGAGCTTCGATGTCTTTGTCTGGTTATATGCCACCCATGTGTGACCCAGTTGACGGCCATCTCCTGCTCGACGGCGGGTACGTCAATAACCTTCCAGGTAATTTGAGCGTTACATTAAAAGAGTGCGTCTAACTTCGTTATTATGTGATATAAAAATGCACTATAATGTAAAAATGTCATATTAGTATATGTGCTATAACATATTTTGAGTTGAACGCACAAACGCTCTTAGATAAAAATATTTTTACGATTTTCCTCTTTAATTTTAAAATTACCTGGACATTAAAAACAACTTCATATCAATGAATAGAGGAAATTTTACTAGTCCCTTTTTTCATTGATATAAGTTCGAATATAAGTTCGAAATGATTCATCCTAACTCAGAAGTATAATATAAATTTGAAAATGATATGAAGCTCACTCCCGTTGATAAAAGATGCATTTGTCAAATCCTGAATAGCTAAGTCAACTCAGGTTTGCTATGGAGATACATTCGAGCCAGTATGACCATTGCGGGGGTCTTTCCTCCTATTTGCGATCCTCTTGACGGGCATCTTTTGGTCGATGGGTGTTATGTTAATAACGTGCCAGGTATCTTAAACCTGTATTGTTTATGATATATCATAGGTGTAATAATTTATACATTATAGTAAATTTTCAATATATGGCTTTATACTTTTTTTGTTCAAGCTGACGAAATGTTGAGGCAAGGAGCGCACCATATTTTGGCCATTGATGTTGGGTCACAAGACGATACAGATTTAACGAATTATGGAGATTCTTTATCCGGTTGGTGGTTATTGTGGAAACGATGGAATCCATTTGCAACGCCCGTCAAAGTTCCGAATTTACCCGATATACAATCAAGATTGGCTTACGTGAGTTGTGTACGACAGTTGGAGGAAGTTAAAAATTCAGATTATTGCGAATATATTAGGCCGCCAATAGATAAATATAAAACTCTGCAATTCGCTAATTTTGATGAGATTAAAGACGTCGGGTATCAACATGGTAAATATCATATTCCATAAAAACACAAATAGATGAATTTATAATTATATAAATATATTTTTTACAGGAAAAACTTATTTCGAAGGACAACTGAAAGCTGGAGTTTTACCTCGGTTTAATGCAGATAGAGAAAATGCTCGAGCATTACGAGCAAAACATCAAGCGGCAAATCAGCAAACAGTATCTTCATACACTTTTACAGATTTGGCTCAAATGGTATGTAAAGTATCCAGAGGAAGTATATATGTCGATTTGGAAATTGATTCCGATACTGACGAATTAGAAGAATATGAGGCGGATTTAGAAGAAGATGCACAAGAAGTAGGTTATGCTTCTGAACCCACTGCCGGTATTTTAGATCAGGTATTGATCTCTATTCTTTTTTAAGCAATAGCCTTTCTAGAATTTTCTCTTGCCATTCACTCAATAATAGTGATTTACGTCATTCTAAGTACTAAATATAAATATTTACAAATTCAGAAAGGTGCTTCTTTATCAAATACAGAACTTCATTTTATCTAAAATTTTTTTTTATACATTTCAGAGTCCTGACGAAAATCGTTTACGACGAAGAACTGGCGTTTCCTTAAGTTTATCTGATACAGAAGCAGAATCAGAATTAGACTATCATACCAAAATATTTTAAGCATTTTTTTTTTAGTTTTTATTTTAGCATCATGTATTTTTTGCATCATTCAATTCGTAAACGTATGTAACACTAATTTGTCATATGTACAAATTATTATAACTTTGCAATTATTTATAGTTTTACGCAAAATATATTTATACTAAAGTACAAAAGAATTGTTAAGGAAAAATATCAATAAGTACTTTGCAATTACCATCAGACAATGCAATATCTCATCATTGTATTATTATAAATTGATACAATTGTTAATATAGTTATTAAATATACAATTCTATCGTTTATAAAAAAAGCTTTTTTAATTTGTTTTTTTCTTTTTTAAATGTTTTTATACATTTCATAAATACATTATATAATTTCAAATTCTTAAGATACATATCAAAATTGCGTTTTCATTGTTAAATTTGGATCTATAATAGCAAGAACTGCACCTATTAAATGTAAAGATCCTGTAACAAGTATTTGATTCCTTTCACAATCATCTTTTTGTTCCAAATTCTTTTTTATATCTTCTAAAACTTCAAGAACATTATTCAGAACTATCGAATTCATTCCCCATATTTTAGAGTTCATTTCACATTTTATTTTTTGTTCATCTATTAATGAGCTATTCATTTCATCATCTAAATTTTTAATTCCCGCAATATTTGGTACGAAATATGCTTTATAAAAATCTAAAGATCTTAATGGTCTTAATAATTTAATTGAATCTCGTGCACTAGATGTATTAAAAATTAGAAGTTTTTTTCCTTTATTGCTCATGTCGTTAAACCATGAAATACAGCATTCAATACTTTCAATAGTATGCGCACCATCTAAAAAAAAGTCACCAACACTACTTCTCAAAATTTGCATTCGACCTGGCCACTTACAAGAAACTAAACCTGTTGCAATCTTATCCATAGATACAGTTACTTCAATATTTTCTTCGTATTTACAAACTACATTATTTACAGAATTATGTAAAATGTTTGGAACTTTATTTGTTTTAGATAGTATCCATTCAGTAGCTATCTGAATAGCTAAAGATGCATTTTGTTGCTGAACTTCATTTGTTATTTGTAAAATAGGTGAAAGATTTTCCCACTTATATTCATCAAAAGATGGAATAATACGTAATTTACAATTTCTTTCAATTGCTCTTTTCTCCAATACATGCATTGCTTCAGATAATTGTGGAACAGAAAAAGCAACAGTTTCTGATTTAAAAATTCCAGACTTTTGATAAGCTATATCTTCAAGTGTATTACCTAGTAAAGAAGTATGATCTAACCCTAAACTAGTTATGCCTACACATACAGGATTTCTTACAATATTTGTACAATCATATAAACCTCCAATTCCAACTTCAATTATAGCAATATCAACGTGTTCATCCAAAAATACATGAAACATAAGAATTGTTAAAAATTTGAAATATGAGGGCATATCAGATTCACATTCTTTTGTATTTTCTAGTTTTTTGTATATTTTCCAAAAATTCTGAGTAAAATGCATTTTGCTTATTGGTTGTCCGTTTATTCTTATACGTTCTCTTACATTAACTAAATGTGGAGAACTAAAAAATCCTGTTTTAAAACCATGTTTACGTAGAATAGCTTCTGTATATGCACAAGTAGAACCTTTTCCTTTCGTACCTGCTACATGTATAACTGACAAAGTATCTAACTTTTCAAGTGTAATACCAGATCTGTAAAAGTTATATTATTAAATTATTTTTATATATATTAATTATATTGATTACATAGATTGATAACACATGATTACATAAATAAGATATATCAATTAATAAAATATATTGCTTATATGATAAGATTTTATTTCATACAATATAAAAAGGAAATTATTACCTGAGTAAATATTGTTTTGTATCAAACAATTTGCAAAAATCATTCTTTGAATTATTTTTTACTGCCAATTTTAAGTAACTACTATTGCTTTGTAAACTATGTAATGCTTTTATAGCAGCCTATAAACAAATATTTTTAGAAGAAATAATTTTGATAAACATACATATCAACATCCTTTACATAAATAACATTCTTTATTCTTATTTAATTTATTTGGTATAAATCAAATAATAATTTATATTATACCTTATATGAATTATCATCGTCAAGAGTATTATTAAATTTTTGCTCCATAATTAAATATTAGAAAATTTAAATGACTGTATAAAACGTAGAAAAGTTACCTCATAACTTGCTGTAGAAACATAACGTTTGATAAAATTATTCCACATTATTTTAATAGATAAAACGGAGTCATTTGTTATGTAATCATTTTTAGATTGATATTGTAAACAAAAAAAAATAGTATACATTCAAGTATACAATTAGATTTGACCTTTGTTTCTTAAATATTTATTCTCCTTAATGTAGAAATATCATTCGTGAAATATTTTAATTTACGTGCTATTAAACATTGTAATATACATATAATAAGATTAAATTAAATTTTGGTGATAAAATAACAAAATTGTAAATTATCGTCGACGACACTGAGACGTTGATTTCCCTTATGTACCTATTTCAAAATTTGTTAAATCTCCGCTCCGACAATTGGAACAGTGTTGTTTTCGACTCGAATCATACAATTGGAAATTATATCTAACATTTAGAGATTTTTAGGTTATATCATTATTAATTTAAAAAAAATAATAGATATCATTGACTTTTTTTAAAATGTGTTTTTTTATAATGTTTATTGAAATGTGATTTTTTATATAAAATTACGATAATAATACAAACTATAATTTATTAATATGAATAACATATAAACGTTATTAAATTGTATCAAACAAATAATGTAATAATATACATTATTTGTTTACGGCTACAGATAAAAATTAAAAAAGATATTGCCATTGAAATTCATTGTAATATTGTCAGAAAGAATGAAATGTTAATGTTAATTTATTAAATTAGACAAATTAAATACAAAACAGAAAATTGTAATAATTAACCAGAGTTAAATAACCTAAAAAATTCAATTTGATCATTTCTAGTTTTTTTTTTTTTTGCGTTTGATAAATACATGACATATACATAGTATTTAAATACTGTAGGTGCGCGCGCGCGTATTGGCTTTAACGATTTGCATCAAATTGTGTATCTGTATTTTCACTGAATCCTTGTCATAATTAATCGTGTTACGCGAGTCATTAATTGAGATTCTTTTGCATTGTTAGTTGAGTGTTTTTTTTTCTGTATTTAATTCTGCAAAATCCGAGTAAATTTGTAACAATGGCAGATATGTCAATGAATATTGTTACTCCGCGAAAGATGTCTTTCGGTATCAATGGGAAATTAAATGGCCTAGAAAGCAAAACACCATTTTTAATTGGAGTTTCAGGCGGCACTGCAAGTGGAAAAGTAAGTAATGCATTATCTCTCTAAAATAGTTTTATTAAAATGATATGCACAGGATATATTTTATATTTGCACAGAATATATTTATATATATTTATGACACAACCTCTATAAAAAAAGTACGTGAACTTCAAAATTATAAATTCTATTGTTAATATGCTTGATGGAAAAGGTGATTAATATAATTCTTTTTCTCTTTTCTAGTCAACTGTGTGCAAACGTATAATGGAAAAATTAGGGCAGGTAGATATGGACCACATGCAACGGCAAGTAGTTTGTATTTCTCAAGACAGCTTTTACCGAGATTTGTCACCAGCTGAAAAACTTAAAGCTGAGAAAGGTCAATATAATTTTGATCACCCTGATGCATTTGATAATGATTTAATACTTCAAACGTTACAAGATATACTAGCTGGAGTGAAATGTGAAATACCAGCCTATGATTATAGAACAAATAGTTTGTACGTGTCATTTAAGATAATTTTATTCTTATAAATTACTATGATATATTAATCATGTTTTGATGGCTTTCAGAATGAAAGATCAAATTACAACAATTTATCCTGCTGATGTAGTTTTATTCGAAGGCATTTTAGTGTTTTATTTCCCTAAAATACGAGATTTGTTTCATATGAAGTTATTTGTGGATACTGATTCAGATACCAGATTAGCTAGAAGAGGTGATATAATGCATATATTACATTTTTTCTTTTTGAAGTTATACATTTGTACAATTTTTTCAATTGTTACAGTACCAAGAGATATAAAAGAAAGAGGGAGGGATTTAGATTATGTATTGAATCAATATATGAATTTTGTAAAACCTGCCTTTGAAGAATTCTGTCTTCCCACTAAGAAATTTGCTGATGTTATTATACCAAGGGGTGCAGACAATACAGGTAAATTATAATGTTCATATAATGTACAAAAATTACGCGTAATAATTTAAATTAAGAACATAAATTACTTATACTTTGGGACTCTTAATTGCATTTATTTGGTATATTCATGAAATTAATTTTCATCATTACAATCAAAATTCAATTTCATTAAGTCTGCACATAATCAAATGTGATAATTAATTATAATTTCATGATCATGATAATTATATTTATGTTAATGGTGATACTAAAGTATATATTAATTAATGCACTCCAGATGCAGATTTAGATTAATAAGGCAGCTTAAAATTTTATTCTATTTATATATATATATATATATGTATATGTGTATATATATGTATATACATATATACATATACACTCATCATGGGTGCTGCCTGGTATGTAAAGGCTGCTAAAACACAAGCTATCTTTTAAGTTAGTGCAAAATAGAGGTCATATAAAAACGTACATGGTTTGGTTATTGTATGTTTACAGTGGCAATAGACCTTATAGTGCACCACATCTGGGACATTTTACGTTTGAAAAAGGCTGAAAACTCATCCAGGCAGCATCCATACATCTACCAACATAGGCGTACTTCAACTTCATCCGACACGCTCAGCAGATGATTGTAGCATGATATATGCACTTATATCAGCTCTACATTTTTATACACAATATATTGATATCTAAGATTTGCAGTAATCTTAAAATATTTTTTTTTTTGTTTTTTTTTGAATACATAATATGTTTCTTATATATACTTATACAACTATATTTGTATTACATTTGTATTAAGCAACAAACAATATTGCTTCTAGTGTATGCATCTATCAAACCCTTAATTTGGGTAAAATTAATTTTTGATTGTTCCTAAAACTTAGGCATAATGCATGATTATACAAGATACCTCGTTCAAACACTACAATTCCAATATTGCATAATTATTCAACTTTATACATAAGATTGATCTATGTTATATAAAAAAAACTTAAATATTTAGTTTACATATAAGAACCTTTATGAAGGTTCATATACATGCATGTATTTTAAAAAAATTTAATTTTTTATATATTGTTACTTTTCAATCAATGAATGTTTTATGCATCAATATAGTAATACAAATTAAACTTATTAAGCAAACATAAAGCATAATATTAGCATAATACTTTAAGATGTGATATTTTTCATTTAAATTACATTATTCATGTACTGCCATAGTCAAAGACATTTAATTATATCATTCAGTGTGGTGCTAATTCATTTATTTGATATTCTTATTTTTTAAATGCCCAAATAATTTTAATCTCAATAAAATTATCATCATTATACAAAATAATTATAATTTAAATTATGTAATTTGATATATTATCTGTTTAAATTGTAGAAAAGAAATAAAGAAATTAAATTTCCCATCGTTATAAAGTTATTTTTGGCGATTTACATGTATTTTATATTTTGTTACAGTGGCAATAGATTTGATAGTACAACATATAAGAGACTTCTTAAGCAACAGAGGTAGAATTACAGTTCAATCAGAAAGTTCAATAAATAAGGCAGAGAAATTATCCAAGAGACCACATTAATTTTCAGAATTTTAGAAATTGATAAAAAATTAACTGAGTTATTGTATCTATTGTTATTTTCAATAATTATATATTTTTTAACATCACTATTAAATTTAAAAAGATATAATTGATACAAATTTAAAAAGATAATTCAGACTCATGAACTACACTATAAACTGTTTTTTACTCCTTTTAGTATTATTTATATATATAGAAATAAAAACTATTTAAAAGTTACTAAGATATTATATTTTACAGTGTGACAAAATATATTTCTAGAGATTACATTTATAAAAATGATGTAGCAATATTTCGATGTTAAATAGCAATAACAAGCTCTTACATTGTAAGCAGCAATTGATTTCAACAATTTAAACTACTATTGTTTTTGTTATTGCTATTTACGTTTGTTTATTGTATTGTTGTTATATATATTATGTATTTATATATCATGTAGAATACAAAATCAGAAACGCTTAAATATAAAATGTACTATTATTGTTATTACGTATATAACATTAACTTATATAATATTAATTATAAATTATTGATAATACAATTCTAAATTCATGCCATCATGAATTTCATCTGTATTGTTAAGTTAAGAAAAATGTTATTTATATTGTTAATAATTATATTATGTAAAAATATATTTTGTTTGAAAGGATACAATCTTGTAGTTTTATATGATCCTTAAATATAGTATACCATTTTTTTAGAACTATTTTTTCCCAGTGTGTTCCAGTTTGTGCAGCTATTAATTTCTTTAAATCACCTATTGTGTCATCCGGATTGCATTTAACTCTAACTTTCTTTCCAAGACGATCATTACATGTTATTTCTAACATCTTTTCCCTTAAAATATCAAAAAATATTACACTTATGTGTTAATAACAAATATAAGAAATTATATTATTCAATCATAATACAAAAATCAATTTTCTACAAATATTAACGAGTAGATATAAAAATTAATATTAAATACATATATATCTAATAATAATATAAAAAATAACCTTTAAATGCAACTTAAAATAACTTTGTTTTATACAAAATACTCACAATCATGAGGATTATAAAATATCAATAACGACAAATGCATGAGATATTTAACTTAAAGTTTTCCCATATCAAAGTTAGGCATCATTTGATATCAAAGTTATGCAAATTGGCAAAAAGCATCTTTTATATGTAAATGACAATATTTCTTATTTACAAATTAATATTAATGAAATATCTACTTACGACGTATTATAATATTACGACAACGTAAATTTTATTGGCGTATATTTTTACTAGAAACTTGCTTCTAAATTATTATATGCGTTTGTACGTACTAACAGCCAGTGTTACAAAACTTAAAATGTTAACTAAACGAAAAAATCGACAATATTATTATTGACGGCATATCTTATCAATTTTTATAACAAACTAACAACGCTTTCTACAATAAGTTACTTTAGATTCGTGAAATAAACTGATTCCATAAAAGAATACAGACAAAAGAATATATTCAACATTATTCTGGACAATCTTCTGCCATTACTGAATTCACATTCAATGATGGCGGATGTAGCAAATCTTCCCGGCGCTTCTTCCAGTCAAAAGATGTCGTCGAAACTTTTGAGGCAAAAAGCTCAAGAATTTTTGACTTCGAGAAAATACGCAAATAATCTAGTAGACATAATTTCTCAATGGGATGTAAGTACAAAGTCGAAAATCATTTCAAATTGATGAATGTATCAACTTTTTAAGGTTATGTCATTTATTAAAATTCCTGATCACTCTATCAGGAATCCACTTTGTCCTGCCTACTTACAATAGAAACAATATTCGTCGAAGTTCTAAAAAGAGGTGACATGTACTTGGAACGTACAATATCTCTTACTATTTCAGGTATGTTCAGATTAATATTTTTTATTATTCAATAATTTTTAACATTGCGCATCTTCAAATTTGTTGACGAAAATTGTAAATTCTTACGTGTTGATACTTTGTGAAAATACGTTTGTGGGCACAAAGTTTAAGCACAGAGATAAAAAAGATATATATACTTTTTGATTTTGTATATGCTTGAGAACTTGAAATAGCTGTTCCATAAGATTTATGAAACAGAGCCAAGTCCTGAAGCAAGATATATCAATTGGTTGAGGAACTATTATGAAGAATTATGGGAAAAGATACTTGCATCAATGGAAAAATATCGACCTGCCGTTCAACTACAAGCTCTCACTACGGCTTTAAAGCTAATGGCTGAAGAAGGTAAAAATCCATTGGAACCAATTAGCAACTTGGGATATTATTTTCCATTTCATCGATTAAAGCCCATTTTGATGAAGTTACTTTCACCGGAAAAGGATAATGCTAGTTTAATATCTAGATTTCAAGAAATTATAGAATATCCTGACGCTCTTTATTACACATGGAAATGTCTTCCATCTCTTACTCCAAAAAGACAACCACATGAAATTTATGTTAAGAATTTGTTGGAACTTATACATAAATTATCACTGCCAAAAGAAATTGAAGGTATAAATTAAATGAATTAAGTATGATTTTGTCATTTGTTTTAAAATTAATATTTTACATTAAGTTTTAATTGTGTTCCAGAAAATGAAATATCTGAAAATAAGAATTTACTATGTAAACCACAACAAGGTAATAAAAATATATTTTTCATACTTTTTTTTTATACTCAAATTAACTATGAATTCTTATATATTTCATACCTTTCTTTTTATTTATTAGCTACAAAGAATTTTATATGGGATCAAGCAGGAGCAAGACGTGCATTAAATAAAGTTTGGGCTTGTGTTATGCATTGGGAATTGACACCAGAATTACATAAACAGTTATTAATAGTTCTTTTAGAGAGAGTTATGCCACATTTGGAAAAACCTGTTTTGCTAACAGACTTTCTTATGGATTCCTTGGATGCAGATGGGCCTATTGGCTTACTTGCATTACAAGGTGTATTTTTATTAGTTACTAAACATAATTTGGAATATCCTAACATTTTTACCAAACTTTATTCTATGTTTGAACCAGAAATATTTCACACAAAATACAAAGCACGTTTGTTTTACCTATCCGATCTTTTCCTCAGTTCAACGTAAGTGTTTAAAATAATTGAAAATATTATTTTTGTACATTATATAAGGATTATTCTTGTTTTTAGGCACTTACCAGAAGCATTAGTTGCTGCCTTCGCAAAAAGACTTGCGCGTTTAACTCTTGTAGCACCACCTGAAGATATTCTTATCATTTTATTATTCGTAGGGAATCTTTTACTTAGGCATCCTGGTTTGAAACGTCTCATTGATCATCCACAAGGAGAAATTTCAGAAGAAAATAATGGTGCTGGAGACCCATTTTTAATGGAAGAACGAGATCCTTTATTAAGTAATGCTCTTCTTAGTAGTCTTTGGGAAATCAAAGCTTTACAATGTCATATAGTACCAAGTATTGCTAGTGCTGCACGTTTTATTCGCGAGCCCCTTCCTTCTGTAGAATATGATATGGCATCGGCTTTAGAACATACGGGAGGCCATTTATTCGATAATGAATTAAAAAATAAAGTTAAAGATATTATGTTAACATTCGAAAGACCCAATTCAATGGCATTACCAAAAGGTGAAAGATTACTGCAATATTGGCAATTAACTACAATGCACTGACTGGCAATATTAAAATTATATTGTGCAATATAATTGTGCAAACTGTTTTTTCAATGAAAACGCAAAAAAAGTGATGTTGAACTGAGCTTGCGTTTTTTTTTATACGTTAAAAAAGTAGTATGAAAATATTGCATACTTTTGTATTATTTAAAGTCTAAAAATAATTGCAACGGAATTGATTCAGAGTACATTATTTCACGAGCAACATGTAGATATGTATTTTTAGATTTACAATCATGCAGCTATCTAGCACAATAGGTCCTCGTGAATGCTACCAATTCTGTTAAATGAAGTCATTTGTATGCATGAGTGTGTGATAATAAAATGAAAGATATTTTAATTTAATAGATTAGCCGTGTTTCATTTAAAATGCATTGTTTACTTTGCATGTATATCATATAGGCAAACATACGTGGACTTTATAATAAAATCGTATTATGATACAATCTTATATTTTTAACCAATATTGAAAAAGTCCTATATTTAACTATGATACATTTAAATAAATGCTCCATATTATTGGCTATTGTTATGTATAAGAAAGACCTATGTACATACATAAACAGTAGTATTTAATTTGAATACTTTCATATATATCTTCTATTCTCCAAAATCTGTAATAGCGAGATTTAATATAAAATTATTTTTCTTTTAATGTAAAATATTATATAAAAACGACATGTTATTGTACAAACCCATGTTAATTGTCGCCATTCGTCTTCATTTAATGTATGTTTTATCTTCAGCAAAATATTTGCTGGAATCTCAGGAAGTGTAGTTGACATATGTTCTTTAGTGGGTATATACTCTATTTGTAAAAGTTCGGCTACCGTTGGTCGTGCTTTTGGATCATGTTGAAGGCATTTACGCATTACATCAATTAAAATTGGTGGTATTTGTATAGCTTTATTACCATCTTCTGACATCATAGTTATAGGAAAAGGAATATTCAACTTTGGATTAATTATTGCGTTCACTTTAGCCCATTGTGAACGAATATGATGAAATGGTGTATGACCATACACTAAACTATATAAAATGCAACCTAAAGACCACACATCTGATTTAAAACTAATCTACAAAATAAACACATTTGTATTATCTTTAGACTTCGACTTTTATTAGAATCTAAAAATTCTATTTTCATACTTTATATTTAACATTCTGTGTGGGTGAATCTGAATTACCACCAATATCCATTAAGGCTTCAGGACTAATATAATTTAAAGTTCCAATTGGACAATTTTTTATAACAGATGTCATATCAGCATTCATACTGCAAGCGATTCCAAAATCTATAAGTTTTAATCGCCCCCTTACTAACAAAAAATTTGCAGGCTTCAAATCCGAATGAATTACTCCTAAAAATGTATATGTATAAAATTTTAAAAATTATTTAATAAATAAATGGTATTCTTATACTAAGTTATGTACCATTATCATGTATGTGCTTAACAGCTGTCAACATTTCTGTCCAATAATATAAAATCATTGTAAGAGAAATTTGTTTTTCACGTGACATAGTTTTTAAAAGGCGACTAAAATCAGTGTCTCCCATTTCCATAACCACATACACCATTGGAGACTTAATTTCACTGAAATGAAAAACTTAAATGTAAATGTCAGTACGTGCATACATATTTTATAAAATACACAAATATATTTTATAAAATAATTTCTTACTAGTCAAGCATTTTAACAACACATGGTGCTTGTAATTTATTTAACATTAAAATTTCATCTAAACAACCTTGTGCTGAATCTTTATCCATACGTTCAAGATTAACACATTTAATAGCACATAATTCGAGAGAAGATAAGTCCTGTGCTCTCAAAACTTCTCCACTCATACCTTGACCAAGTGTATCCAAAATTAAATACTCTTTTTCATTAACAAAAAGAGTTCTAGTTTGTCTAGATTTAGGAACATTAGATGGAAGTGAAAACTGTACATTCAATGATTTATCTACAATTTTATTTAACTCCTGTTGCTGTTTTTGATTATTAGCTTCTGAATGTTGATACTGAGGATAATTGCACTTTGATTTCAAAGTATCTTTGTTGTCTTTAATACAAGATGGAACATGTTTGATATTTGGTATTTTATTTATTGTTTCTTTATCCATTACTGTATTCTTTATATTTAAATATTTATTTTCTTTCAATTCTTCATCTGATCCTAGATCATTTTCTAATGTTCCAAATATTTGTTTTGGTAAGTCTGTTTCACATAAATTTTTACATAATGATTTTTCTTGAGTTTTAGGTGTTACTTCATTTACTTTAGGAAGCTGAGATCCTTGTAGTAAACATCTATTAAAAGTATTATTTTGTACAAACCCTCCTGTGTCTGTTAAAGATTTTCTCATTTTATCCTCCGCATCCAAATATCTATA